GAGTAGAATGTCATCATGGTACAAGTCTGAAATGAGGAGGAAAAAACTCCTGGTTTTGGCTCCAATTGGGCTACAGTTGACCCTGGTTGCTCTGACCAGAGGTTGATAAGATGGGGAGACCCAAATCTGCCTAACTACTGCAGATAACAGATGTGTGTCCATGGAGCCAAGTGCTGTTTCTCTTGTAAAGAAGTAAAGACCATTATAAGGTCTTTGTAAATGATTTTTTTTTTCAGGAATCCCTTCTGAAGCCAGATGTAGTGGTGCACATAATCCCAGTGGCTTAGAAGGCTGAGGCAGGAGGATCATGAATACAAAGCCAGCCTCAGCAATTTAGGTGCTAAGCAACTCAGTGAGATCCTGTCAATAAAAACAAAAAAGGGCTGGGGATGTGGTGCAGTGGTTGAGTGCCCCCGAGTTCAATCATTGGTACCAAAAAAAAAAAAAAAACTCCCTTCTAAATGCTTTACTTCAATGGTCCAGCCTCAGGGGAATAGGGCAGGGACCAGGTTTTAGTGGAGACTCACTACAGCACAGTTCTTGCCATCCATTCCAAAAGCCCTTTCCTGGCACAGTCCTCTTTGAATCAAATCCCAAAGGACTGGGACCATATTAAAACTTTTAACATGAGAAGAATTACAGCAAGGTGACAATGCAATTAACCTGAGTAATCTTTCAAAACTCACTGATAATATATAATTTTTGCTACTTTAGACTCCATTCATGATGTGATTTTTTTTTAATTAGTAAAGAAGGAGGTTTTCAGATCTGTTCAAACTAAAAGAATAAAGGCATGTTTGCATAAAAAGAAAGAATTGGTCAATGCTTTTCATTGTTTTTCGTATTCTTACAACAGTTTTTCAAATGGCTGCTCTGCAGCTTTATTCTGCTCACTTCTCAGACTCTGTAGAAAAGTCTGTGATTACTATTTAAGGATCCTGGTGATTCCCTTCACTGCATAGGGGGAAAAAAGGCAAAATCAGGGCTATTATCCTGTGTTTATAACAAGTCTATCACCATAGTAACACCTGCATGTCACAAACAGTACATCAAGGACCAAAGGCTGTCTCTGAGAGGGAAGGGCAATTAGCCTCAAAGATGGACACACACATGTGAGGTCAAAGAAGGGTCAATGCCGTGATAATCACCAAGACACAGGGTGCTCCCCTTCTCCAGAGGAAAGAGGGTGGGCCAGAAGAACAGTTCCCCAGGCCCAGAAGCAAGCTACACCCACACTTCTGTACACAGCTGTGCAAAAGGAGTGGAAATCCAAGCAAATGTGGTCTCACTGTGTTCCCAATCATGAGTATTCCACTGGGCTCTCTGGCTGCCAAGACATGGAGGGGTTCCAGTGGTAAGCCTGCCCAAGTGCATGAAACACACTCTAGCAAGGGAACCAGTGCCTGGCTAGATGGAGCCCTCTGGTACCTGGGAAGAGAAGTAATTCCCTCTTGGTGGCAAGCACTTAAAAACCCAAGCTAGGTTCTATCCCCACCAGGCCATCTGGTTCAAAGACCCACAGATTCTTAGGGTTAAAGAAGTCTAGGTTCTCAGGGTAAGATCAACTCTCCCAAAAGATAGGCACTTTTAAAAAATACCCTTTTGTAGGAAGAAGCTGTATATCCTGCCACTGGAGGATATGAAAGTAGAATATTAATGAGCATTATTATTCTGATAGTCTAGGGAAGCTTTATAAAAGTATTCTGAAAATGCAACCTTATATTAAAAAAAAAAATAGTGGAATCCATAGCAGTGGGGCACCCCTGTAATCTCAGCTACTCAGAAGGCTGAGGCAGGAGGTTCGCAAGTTCCAGACTAGTCTCAGCCTCGAACTTAGTAATCTTAGCTCAAGTTCATAGAAGTCACCTTACCTTGAGGAAGCTACTTAACCTATCTGAGCGTCAGTTCTATTTAATGATATCTAACATGCAATTTCCTGGAGTTATTGTAAAGACTGAACTGAATAAAGAATGTAAATGAGTTTCATAAACTCTAAAGGATTTAACATAAATGTAAAGTATTATTAGCTTACAGTACAAAAGGAATCATTTGAAACATAACATAGGAATCCAAAGCATACATACAATCCTCATCTTCTCTATCCTGAGATGGACACTAGCATGACACAGTCATTGCTAAATTGTTCAGGGTCTGATTAGCAGAAGACCGTTAGCTGCTGGCTATTGTACCCTTTATCAGTAACCTTCAGGAATGTCTTTGGTTAACATGACAGGGAGGGGGACCTCGACTCAATTACCTTGAATAACAACTCTGGTAAAAGTTTTAGTAAAGGAAGAGTTGAAATAATCAACCAGGTGGAAGTTTCTGTATAATTTATGAACTTGAATGACTTAATTAAGAGCAATGGAATCCTTGCTTTATTTCAAGAAAGCTGTGGTTATGCTCAGACAGGTTGGGGCTAATCCAGATAAAATACTCATATTCTCTCAGTGAACCACTTGTCTTACATACATGCAGTAAGATTTGTATATCAGTCACTTATTCAACAAATATTGGTATGCTAGGGCTTACTGTATACCCTTAAGACCACTATTTTCCTGCCCTTTTTGCTGAACCCTCCTTAAAATATTACACAGCACACCTTGTCAAGCCCACAGCCAGGTTCTGAAACCCTATTCATCTTCTTGTTATCGTGAGACTTGGCTAATCTCACCCTAGCACAAGCATCAGCAAATTATAGCCCCTGGGTCAAACCCAGCCCACTGTCCTTTTGGTAAATAAAATTTTAAGGGAACACAGCCATATGCACTGGTTTATATATTATCTATGGCCACCTTCCTGCTACAACAGTGGAGTCTAAAGTGATAGAGGTGACATGGCCCACAAACCCTAAAGTACTATCTGGCCCTTTACAGAAAATGTTTGGTGACCCGTGCCCTAGATGGCATGACTAAAAACATAATTCGTTTCTCTGGTAAGTTTCAGTTTAGAAACAAACACAGTAAGCTCCTAGAAAGCATAGAACATTCCTGTTTCTTTGTCTTGTCTTGTAGAACCCTCCACCTTATAGAACAGAGTCAAGGTTAGAGCAGTTACAAAAAAAATTAAACATGTCCTTCCCTACTTTCTGTTTTCCACAGATGAGTGCCTTGGCGTTCCATGGTAGACAGCATAAAACCACTGGTGTTCGGTTACTCTGGTCTCTAATTCCTCAGAGTTCCTATGTCTAAGACTTCCAAGGCTCAATTTTTGGCCTCTATCCCTTTGCATATTTATTTCCTGATCTGATGTGGAATTAGAGTTAAATAGGAGCTGTGTGCTTGAATTCCACGTGGCTGGCTCAGCAGGAAACTCCAGGGCAGGTTTTTTGGCATGCTGAATTCATGTTAGCCTCAGCTATGCTAATTTCTAAAGCTGTTTGCTTTGTGCAAATAAATCTTAGAGATGAATTTGCATTTGGATGCACACCTTTTTATGCACAAATTATGTGCATGATAACTCTAGGGCAGAATAAGGACTGAAAAAATAGAAAGGTATGGTGTTTACATTTCTACAACAACTCTATGAGGTAAGACTGTGCCCCACCCACCCCTTTTACAGATGGGAAAACTGAAAAGAGGAAACCTTACTTAACTTGCCCACATTGACAAAGTAGGCTATTGACAAAGCCTAGAATGAAAATCAAACTTTCTGATTGGAAGCTCATAGTCTTGTCACTTAGTCACACTACTTTATTGATACACTCAACAACATCACCTCTCACCTAAGCCATGGAACATATATCCAAACATGAATGCTATAATTACAAAATAAGTTGCTCTCCCCCACCCCCAGTTGGCCTTCGCAAAATATGACTTTGGTCCTTGGGAGAGAAATTAGGACTAAAAATCACAACCAACCCATCAAAGGAAACAGAAACACTAAGGCAACTTTATATGATATGCCAATTATATTAGTCATGAGATAAACACAATTATAAATGATTTTAACAAGTAAATGGATTTTAATGACATATCTAAGGACATCAGTATGAAAGGACACTTTTACTGCTAAAATGTAGTAGACCAACAAGAGAATGTGGCTCTAACCATGAAAGAAAATGAAAAATGTGAGCAACACTTAGAAAACAATGTAAATACATCCATAACATAAGCCTGGGAACTTAAATCTACCAATTTCCTGTTTATGGAAACATAACCAAACACCTAGCTTCCCTAATAAAAAATACAAGCATTAGCTTTATTTTTATTACAATAAATGCTATTATTGTAATTCAGTATTTATCATTCTTCAATCTAATACACAGAAAAAATAACTAGTGTCACAATTAAGCATACTAGCATAATTCCAACATTTTATAGCAAGCCAGATACAATATTATTTAACTTTTTTCTCTGTGTGAAACATATCAGTAGCCAAGCTTGCAATATCATAAAGCTCAGCTCATTGCCATCCAGATCTAATACACTGCCATCCAATTTTCTGGAAATATAAAAGAACTGATTACATTTTCATGCAAGTGAAATTCAGATCTCCATCTTTTTTAAGCTCTCAAAGACAGCTTTCCAGGAATTAGAAAGAACTCTGTGGAGACAGTGCATAATCTAGCTAGGTTCTTGAATGGATTTAGACGAAGGCATATTGAGGGACATGCCTGCCACATGTCCTTTTACAAAACTACCCCTTTCTTCAGAAACTCGAGAAAACCAGACTTTCCCTACGTATTACCTAGTTCAAAATTGCTTTTTTTCTTGCTAATCAGTCATTGTATTTCTCTTATTTTAAAAAACATTTAAACTTTTTTTTTAAATAAGTGAATTCAGAGAAGGAAAATAATTATTTTGTAGTTGGTGGTAAAACCTAAGCAGTAGTAGGGGACTTTTCCTGAGGTAGCAATAAAATACTTTAAATGAGACATGCACTAACATTTCCCATCTACAAAGTTGCTAAAACAGTTTTCAAGTTCATTTGAGCACTTAAGAGTTATTTATATTACAGTTATGTGAATGGTTATCATTGGAAACTCCAGTAATGCTTACCTGCTGGTGGCTTTATGAAAGGTGGAGGAATTAAAGGTACAATAATGGGCACATTGCCATGATCCTTTGACCCTGCAGGTGAGTCACTGACACTGAGTCCATTTCCAGTGGCAAGCCCTGAATAGCCTGTGCTTATATTGTATGGTGAAATAACACTGTCCTCGGGTAATTTTGGTTTTGGCAAAGAATTTTCTGTAAAAGAAAAAAACGATATTCAATATGACAAAAGAACTTATTCAGCAGACTTAAATTTTCCCTTATTTCCTCGAGTAAAATGGTCATGTAACAGAACAAGTTTTTCCTTGCAAACCTTTAAAGAATTTACCAGAACTCCACAGTCCATCCTGGAGCTTTTTAGTCTTGTTACCATAAATTTCCAATGGGCTCCTTTATAATTTGCTCCACTATGATAGCTAATATCCCAGTTGAATCATGGTGATGAATTTTAGCACTGTAAAATCCCATAGAAAATTGAGAGGCAATTAACCTTTTCCACATACAAAGTGACATATAGCAGGCAAGGCTCTCCGGCTACCAGAGGGAAAGCCTAAAGCAGCTTTGTGACTAGGTCCCACCCAATTGTAAACTTAAGACTATAATATAATCTACTGAACCAATGAGAAAGAATCGGATGATTCTGATCAGCTGTGGCACCAAGTATTGATGACGCTCCTCAAAAATCAACAAAAAATGAAAATAAAGAAAACTTACGATGATATAAACTTTATTTATAAATACTTTATCCTTGTATTTGAATCATTGACAAAAAAAGCTTCAACCATGGAAAACAACGTTTTCCCTACAATAGCATATTCTGGCATTCTCTCTTTCCATATTCCCCAGGGGCAAAGATTATTACCTAGGCTAAGTATTATATGAGCTATTAGTCTATAGAATTTAAACTCATGACTTGCATTTTTCATTTACAGTGAAATTGATGACACTATCTGAGTAATACGATATGTACAATTTCATAGCAAGCTTAACATAAAATTTGTCACGTACATTCAATTCCACACACATGCCTGCAGGACAGCTCATTTACATTTTGTTGCTTAGCGTGTAAGAAGAAAAAAATACTATCTCAAAGACTGAAAAAACGTGCTTGAGCAGGTAGTTCCTGCCAACAGATTTTGAATACAACACAAGTACTGGGCAAATTGCCAGTGATAATGCACAATTAGTTTTACCCACATTTTATTAAAATTCCCCAAATTGGTTGCTTCTTCACATGTTCCTCCTCTTATCTTTTATAAACAAACCCTTATTCCAAATTTAGGTTCATAAATTCTGTGTTCATACAAGCTTTCCCCTTAGATATCTGGCACTGCTGTCCACTGGTACAATCAATGTAACTTCGACTCTGCCAATCCTCTTTAATTTCCACTCTTTGGCTGGGCTTCGATGAAAATTCTTACAGAACCTTATAGGATCTAATCCTCTACTCCCCTCTTACTCCTCTTCTCACCCTACTCAAGGGTGTGGGGGCAGAGGAAGACTGAAAACTTCAAGCACAAAATGAAAACAGAATTCCTACCCCAGAAAAAGGAAAGGGGTTTACGAAACGAACAGAATCTCTCTTAGAGTCTGAAAATGTAAACCTAACATTGCACATAGCAGGAAGTCCTAGTCCCTGACAATTGATGGCATATCAAAGAGATCAGGAAACTAGAAGTTAGCAAACATTGCCCCTTTCTATGAATTTGTGGGAAGGACCACAGCACTTAAAGTCCTGAGTCTTTGTCTAGTTCTTCCATTGCTGGAAGGAGATTAAATTGTGTCTATTTTTATTTTAGGTTGAGCTCCTATGTTCTGTGAAGTTCTGCTTATAGGAAAGCACTACTGGAGATGTATAGTTAAATCAACCATGGGCATAGTCAACAAAAGGAGTCCCAAAGCAACTCAGTTCTGAAGAGTTGTGATAGTTAATCCTCTTTCACATGAACAAAGGGACATTAAATGTCATTACCTTTGAGAACAGAAATGTGCTGCCGGCTCTCCCCATCTGTAGGGTAACTCCTGAATTCAATATCTTCACCATCTTTTAATTCAACCTTATCATAGCCATACCAGCCAAGGAGTTCATTCATGGTGTTTTCTGCAAAGTTCTGAAAGAGAAGCATAGGCTACTACTTATTTCTATAATCAATAACTATTTGAAAAGAAGACATAAATTGAATTGTTTGCCTTGCCCCATTTAATGTCAGCCTTACCCTTCTTCCCCTAGAGTATTGTTCATTTTTTCAAATCACGTTCAAAAATTGTAATGCATTTAAAATCACAAAATGACGCATCCAATTATGACAGGCCTTCAGACATTTGCAATTTAAAGATAATGAGAAAAAATGGTATTTGTCAGTTTTGCCTATGAATAGGAAGTCATATTTTACCATATTCTTCTGCAAAGTCTGTATCCCACATTAACGCAAAAATATTGTAAGGTAAAGCATAAGAAACAGCTAAGGAAAGATTTTGAAAATGAAAACAATTAATCAACCTTTTTGTGGTTCAGATTAATTTAAATTAGAATTGCTTTCTGATTCAGGTATTGTTTCTTAACATGACTCTTATCTCAGATAAAGCAAAATCTCAACAAAGAAATAATTTCTCAATTGTCAACCATTATCATACAGAAAACTGAATAGGTTACAAGGGTCTCCCTTTTTAAATTTTCCTCTTTGCAAGAGTATTTTTTTTAAATCAAGGCACAATTTGCTTTATAAATTGTATTGGTGGCAGATTCTTTCTCCATGAATGAAAGGTCATTATGATTGTATTCTGATGAGTGACATAAAAGTACCAAATAACTTTAAGGTTACTAGCCAGACCAGGCTTTGGATAATGTATGAAGTCACTTTACAAACTATAAGTCAATATATAAGTGTAATTTATTGTTACTGTTATTAGAGATATCAAAATTTGAAAATAATGAGTATAGCTAGATGGATTTAATGAAGTGTTTATTTTTAATAACTCATCAATTGCTCGATCTGGAAATAAGATGTGAGACTATGCGTGTTAATGATCTTAGTGCTCATATATACCTTAATAGTCTATCTGGCAGGGCACCATGAGTCTCTGAGACTGAGTGAGGAAAACTATATATTCTAACCTTCTCTGTGGCTCACAGAATCTTTCACTATTCTCCTAGAAGCTGTCATTTCTGAATTACACTAGGATGTATAATTTATGTACTTGAAACAAAGCACCAAGGCTAAGCTAGAGCGTACACAGCCTCAACGTGTGAGTTCCATGTTTTCTCAAATTTCAAGACTTTAGATTTCAGCAGGGGTTGCATAAAAAATAAAAGATAATACACTACTAACTCCATGAAAACAAACCTGACATTTCAAACCACCCACAGGATGCTACATTTTTTGCTTTCGTACCCACTTAAGTTCTGAACTCCAACTGGGTCAATCTGTGATGGTATAGTGCACCAGCAATTTAAAAAAAAAAAAAATCTAGCCAGATTGATTCAATGTGACCATCCACAAGGCCAACAGTCAGCCATATCAAGCTTTAGTGAGGCATTTATTCTCTCTGATGGCTGATCCTGTCCACATTAAATAGACATTCTTTTCATGAATGCACAAAGATGATATGATCGATATGAATAATAAGCTCAGCAACTTCAGGAATACCACTGAGGAGGACTGGGCTAAATGCTGCTGTACTCAATCAAAAGAGATCCTTTTAATGAGGCGTCACTCTCCCCTAACACCTAATTTCTTTCACTGAGGCCGAGTGCCTGACTCAAGAATGACAGTCCCTAAGCACACAAATCAAGGTCCTCCATCAGTGGTCTGGCAGCAGAAATCTCCAAGGATGAAACTTACCTTGCATGGAAAAACCAATTCTCAACAGCATTAAAAGCCAAGTTCAAGCCATCCTATTGGTCTGGATGCTATTTGTCCTGATCTCTAAGAAAACTGTGCCAGTAAGTCAGAAAATCTTTGGCACAGTAATTCCTGGCTACCATATCCAGTTTTGTCCACCATCCCTATCCAGGCGCCACTTTCTCCAGTTCTGTCTAAACTCTAAAGTCACACAAAGGCTATAGATGCATAATTCATGCACCAACCTTCCAGCCAAGGATATAGATTTGTTTGTTTTAGTCCAGCTGCAAATCCATTCAGCCTTTCAGAACCAACCCTGGGGAGGGGATACAGAAGTCTCAGACATTTGGAGAAAAACTGAAACCTCAACTGGATTATTAACACCAAATTCATATTGTTTGAGCATCTTAACTGCATCAGTTTAGTTTATGGCTCCTGCTGAAAACTCAGAGGCTTCACAGAACGATCAATATGAACTTGATCTATTCCATGATTTTCGAGTTACTATAAATGTCAGGGAAAATAAACTCTAAAACATCCCCTTTCTTGTCACTGAAAATAAAAATAAACACCTTAATGTTTTGATATATGACTGCAAAAGCTGAAAACAAAAGGTTTATAAAGACTCGAGCTATAAGTCTCAAACCTTTCAAGAAAGGCGGAGCAAGATGAAAGAAAAAGAGAAACAAACACTGAAATTTCTTGTAATTTAGTTGTGAGAAATAGACTATTACCTCTGTTGCATGCACTACTGTTTAAGAAACCAAACACTCCCAAGGAATAAATTATTTAATTTTCTAAAAAATCCTAATTAGAATTTGATGGTAGATATTAGATGGGCTCATTATGGTGCTACACCAAAGCAAATGCAATAGATGTTTTCAGTTATCTTCTAAGAAATATAACATATTCTGAGAGAGGTGAAATTAATGTTTATGACCTCTAAGGGTTTTCAAGTCTTTCTAGTAGAGAATTCTAACAATTATTTTTTGTATTATCATCCTTTAAAAAAGAATTGTCTATCTAAAAGAATTATTTCTTCCCAAGCTGGGTATAGTGGCACACACCTATCATCCCAGCTACCCTGGTATCTGAGGTAGGAGGATCATAAGTTCCAGGCCAGACTGGGCAGCTTAATGAGAACTTTTCTCAAAATAAAATAGAAAGGACTGGGGATTTAGGTCAATGATAGAGCACTTGCCTAGCATGTGTGAGGCTCTGAGTTCAACCACTAGTACTGCAAAAAGAAAATAAAAAAGAAAAAGAATTATTCCTTTTCTAAGTAGTTTTCTTGCTTGTTATTAAAAAAAAGTAAGATGAGAAGAGTTCAAATGGAGAGTTTTAAGGTAAGAATGTTCAATAATAAAACAAGCTACTGTCAGTGTGGTGGTGCACACCTATAATCCCAGTGATTCAGGAGGCTGAGGCAGGATGATAGCAAGTTCAAAGCCAGCTACAGCAATTTAGTGAGCCTTTAAGCAATTTAGTGAGATCTTGTCTCAAAAATTAAAAATAAAAAGGTATGAGGATATAGCTCAGTGGTAAAGCACCCCTGAGTTCAACCAGCACTGCCCCCCCCAAAAAAAACCTATTGTACTAAGAGATCATAAAATTTCCTTCTCCCCAAAATCTTTACCAAGCATTTCTCTTGAGACCTAGGGCAGGAAACTAAGCAGAATCTCTTTAAAATTCCTTCCAGCTTTAGAATTCTATGAAATCAAGAAACTTCTACTTATATGAAAAATAAAATACCTTTTACAAAGAAATTTCATAATTATAGTGCTCACACATGATGAATTTTACTGAGCAGTCATTATTTCAAATATTTTATCACTGCTCCCATAAACTATCAAAATATGCCAGAAATTTCAATATTTTGGCATCCGAATTACATTTCGCAGACTGTTTCTTGCCCTTGGAAGTGACACAAAAATCCTTTCATACCATGTGGTCCAATTTAGGTTTGGAAAATAGGTCACTAAAATTATAATGATAATGTCTAATACTTTATAGCACTTTGCAGTGTTTCCACATCCTTTCATTCTCCTGCCCCTCTCAATAACCCTATGTGTTAAGTATGTAGTTTTCACAATAAACTTTCAGTGAACTTATGTGACATCATCATTTTATGACAGAAAATTAGAGCATCAAGAAGGTAAAAGATAGGCATGGATGATCACCCAGGAAAGTAAAAACTAAAACACATATCATTTGATACTTACAGCAGGCCTCTTTCTCTTACAAATTCTATATAGTCTAATGTGTGGCAATTGCAAAGAAGCTCCCCCAACCCGGGGCCAATCACAGAGTGGCAAAGAAACCATGCCATAGGATGTCAGTATCATATACCAAAAGGGATCAACAAGGGAACATCTGCGTGTGATGAGACTTTGCTTGCTTTCAGATTCAATCATTGGCCTCTACTCTCCTTAATATGGTCATAGAAGGGGTGCTCAAAATTCACAATTAAAACTGAGTCTTCTGGGGCTGGAGTTATGGCTCAGTGGTAGAGTGCTCACATGCAAGGCCCTGGGTTCAATCCTCAGCACCACATAAAAATAAATAAATAAATAAAATAAAGTTATTGTGTACAACTACAAAAAATATATATATTTTAAAAACTGAGTCTTCTTATTTTATAGTTTTTTGACATCACATGTAACTCTAAGTGCTTTGTACTACTAATACCTAATTCCCCTACCTTGTCCTCACCCTCTCCAATTTCCCTCTCTCACTTTCAGTGCTTCTGAGGAAAAAAACAGAATCCTAACAGTTAGTCTGAAAACATACTTTCTTCCTAAAATTAATAATAAATAAGCGGGTATTAAAAAGGTAAATAGAAAGGAAATTTTACAATTTCTTCAATCCTTCTGAGTTCTTTCCATACCGACAAAAATAAATTTTTGCCGGGGGTACAGGCATTCGACCACTGAGCCGCATCCTCAGTCCTATTTTGTATTTTATTTAGAGACAGGGTTTCACCGAGTTGCTTAGCACCTGGCTATTGCTGAGTCTGGCTTTGAACCTGCAATTCTCCTGCCTCAGCTTCCCAAGCCGCTGGGATTACAGGCATGCGCCACTATGCCAAGCTTTTCTGTTGGATCTTAATGTGAGGACATTCATTAGACACCCTCCTTATTCAATTAGAAGTACCATATATATGTCAGAGTTCAATCGAAATGACTTTAATTGAACATTTCATCAGGTAAATAATAGTTGACATCAAAGCACTATGAAAATAGTGATTACCAATTCTGAAAATACCTCTG